ACTGACTCATTCAGCAAACGTTTATTGACTATCTCTACATGTTAGTAGAGGAGGAGGCCTTACAAATAGCTGTGAAAAGAAGAGAAGCAAAAGGCAAAGGGTAAAAGGAAAGATATACCCATTTGAATGCAGAGTTCCAAAGTATAGCAAGGAGAGATAAGAAAGCCTTCCTCGGAGATCAGTGCAAAGAAATAGAGGAAAACAATAGATTGGGAAAGACTAGAGGTCTCTTCGAGAAAATTAAGAGATACCAAGGGGACATTTCACGCAAAGATGGGCACAATAAAAGACACAACTGGTATGGACCTAAAAGAAGAAGATATTAAGAAGAGGTGGTAAGAATACACAGAAGAACTATATAAAAAAGATCTTCAGGACCCAGGTAACCACAATGGTGTGATCATTCACCTAGAACCAGACATCCTGGAATGCAAAGCCAAGTGGGCCTTAGGAAGCATCACTATGAACAAAGCTAGTGGAGGTGATGGAATTCCAGTTGAGCTATTTCAAATCCTACAAGATGATGCTGTGAAAGTGCTGCACTCAATATGCCAGCAAATTTTGAAAACTCAGCAGTGGCCACAGGATGGAAAAGGTCAGTTTTCATTCCAATCCCAAAGAAAGGCAGTGCCAAAGAATGCTCAAACTACTGCACAATTGCACCATTCTCACCTGCTAGCAAAGTAATGCTCAAAATTCTCCAAGCCAGGCTTCAACAATATGTGAACCGTGAACTACCAGATGTTCAAGCTGGTTTTAGAAAAGGCAGAGAAACCAAAGATCAAATTGCCAACATCCGCTGGATTATCAAAAAAGCAAGAGAGTTCCAGAAAAATATCTACTTCTGCTTTATTGACTATGCCAAAGCCTTTGACTGTGTAGATCACAACAAACTGTGGAAAATTCTTAAAGCGAGGGGAATACCAGACCACCTGACCTGCCTCCTGAGAAATCTGAATGCAGGTCAAGAAGCAACAGTTAGAACTAGACATGGAACAACAGACTGCCTCCAGATTGGGAAAGTAGTATGTCAAGGCTGTATATTGTCACCCTGCTTATTTAACCTATGTGCAGAGTACATCCTGAGAAATGCTGGACTGGATGAAACACATACTGGAATCAAGATTGCTGGAAGAAATATCAAGAACCTTAGATACGCAGATGACACCACACTTATGGAAGAAAGCAAAGAAGAACTAAGGAGCCTCCTGAGGAAAGTGAAAGAGGAAAGTGAAAAAGTTGGCTTAAAACTCAACATTTAGAAGACAAAGATCATGGCATCTGGTCCCATGACTTCATGGCAAATAGATGGGGAAACAATGGAAACAGTGGCAGACTTTATTTTGGGGGGCTCCAAAATCACTGCAGATGGTGACTGCAGCCGTGATATTAAAAGACACTTACTCCTTGGAAGAAAAGCTATGACAAACCTAGACAGCATATTAAAAAGCAGAGACCATCTAGTCAAAACGATGGTTTTTCTAGTAGTCATGTATGGATGTGAGAGCTGGACTATAAAGAAAGTTGAGTGCGGAAGAATTGATGCTTTTGAACTGTGGTGTTGGAGAAGACTCTTGAGAGTCCCTTGGACTGCAAGGAGATCCAGCCAGTCCATCCTAAAGGAGATCAGTCCTGGGTGTTCATTGGAAGGACTGATGCTGAAGCTGAAATTCAAGCACTTTGGCCACCTGATGCGAAGAGCTGACTCATTGGAAAAGACCCTGATGCTGGGAAAGATCGAAGGTGGGAGGAGAAGGGGATGACACAGGATGAGATGGTTGGATGGCATCACCGACTCAATGGACATGGGTTTGAGTAGCCTCCAGGAGTTGGTGATGGACAGGGAAGCCTGGCGTGCTGCAGTCCATGGGGTTGCAAAGAGTCAGACATGACTGAGTGACTGAAGTGACTGATACATTAGTAACATCTTCAGCTAAGGCAGTCATGGCCTTCGGAGTCTGATTTGGTGCCATGTGGAAGGACTTTGGGTCACACCTTTATGTGCCCTGGGCAAATTGCCAGTGGATGAGGTGGGCTAGAAAGAGTCTGGGGATACTTGGGCTCATGTCCTGACTGTGCTGCTCCTTTGGAAAGTCACACTCACCCTCAGTGTCCACACAAGTCTCCGCTACTGCATTTACCACTTATTACATTGTAATTATATACAGTTCCTGCAGTCTCTTTCCTGTACTATGAGTTTCCCGAGCAGAAGACAGTGTCTGCGTCATCTGTGTTTTTCCCATTCATTATCTTGTTGTCATACCTTGTGCACAGTAAACTCTTCGTAGTAGTAATAATGGTATAGTAATGATGATGGTAAAAGGTCTTCACTTACAGAGGTAACTGTGTGCCAAGCACTGTTTGATGTGCTTTTGTTGTACTCATGTAATCCTTGTAACAAGTCTATTAATTAAACTATTATTATCTCCGCAGGTGAGATATATGAAACAGAGAGGTTGAGTAACTCACCCAAAGTCACACAGTAAGTGGCAGAGCCAGAGTTTAAGTTCCTCGGTCCTCAGTTCATGGCATAAACCACTCGTACAACACGACTTGTTTGAAGAATGGAACGAACTGTGAAATGACAACCTCCAAGGTCTCTTAGCTCTGATTTCCCATGGGTCTCAGAGATGCCTCTCAGTAGACTTCACAAAGGGACGCCTGCTCTATGGGGCGTACACCAGGAGGGCAGGCCCAGACTGGCACATGGCGGGTTCTGTGGAGTGCAGGAGCTTGAAAGCCGACTGTGGCACTTATGGCTGTGACCCTGAGATAGTTATTTAACTTCATTGAATATCCGTTTCCTTACAGGGCAAAAGGACAATATTAGCTACATTGTAGCACTATTGGAAGAATAAATTAAAAATACCCCCCCAAAAAACCCCAAAAAACAAAACCCCAAAGAAAGTATCTTATGGAAAGTGCTTAGCACAGAAAGGATGCTCTTTACAGAAAACTGTGCAGTTTGGAATGTAATTGTTACAGAGTTGGATATGCTTTAGAACAGAGCTTGGTGGGGGATTCAGGTGGGTCAGCTCTCAAAGATTAGTATGAGAGATCATAAAAAATTAAGTAAATTCAAGGGTGGTCTGCTTTCTGGATGTATGGACTTTGGATGGAAATCAAGCAGGTTGCCTCGGTGTGGTGTGTGTGTGTGTGGAATATGTAGGGAGTCTTGGGGTCGATTGCTAGGAATGGGGTGGGAACATAACTTAGACTGAGCAGAGACCAGGGAGTGAGAAAACATTCAAATTCCAGCTCTGCCACTACCCTCCTGTATGATGGAACAGGTTTGGAAAGTCACCAATCATTTTTGGATTTCCAGCTCCCCAGTCCCAAGATGAGGGGGTGGAATTTGAAGATCTCCATAATCTTAGTAAATACCACCAGTCTAGAAATTCCCAAGCCAAGTTCTCAAATGAATGAAAATTCCTCTGGTATCCATTTCTACTGAAAGAGCAACTGTTTTATCTTTCCACTGTATGTATTTGAATCGGATACGAAGAAGAATATGGGCGTTTTAAAGGCTTTTGATACACATTTCCTTTTGTTTTCTAGAGAGCTGGTATCCAAACAAATTCACCATGAGATAGATGTTCATGTATTCCTACTTTAAGAGCAAATAGGAGAGGTCCCTGAAGTAGTTAGGGGTTTGATGGGCAGGGGAAGCTATGCAAAGGAAGCGTCCTGGTGGAGATCTGTCGAACAAGTTGGACTGAGCCAAATGAGAAGGGAATGTCTGTTCCTGACAGAGGGAACAGCACGTGAGAAGGCCCCGAGGCATGGCAACTGAGGACAGAAACAACTTCCATGTGATTGGAATCTTGAGAGAAGGCGAGTAACACATGGAGCAATATGGTGAGATTTGCGTTTTAGTAAGGTCACTTTGGCTTCAGCGTAGAGGTCTGATTGGGGGCAAGACTGCAGACAGAGCGACAAGTGAGGGGGCTGCTGCAGTCCCCCAAGTGAGCAATACAGCAGTCGCCAAGACTGGGACAGTGACAGTGAGAACGGAAAACAGACGGAAGGGACATTAAAGAGATAGGAAGGACAGGACACAGTGATTGCTTGGCTGGTAGGAGGATGGGAGAGACGGAAGCTCTAAGGGTGGTCCTCAGGCTCCTCGCTGACCTGGGGAGAATGAAGAGCCTGGACATCGCCATCTGATTTTGGGGCAGGGAAATGATGTGTTTAGTTTGGAACATGTTGAATGTGAGGTTCCTGTGGTACCCATCCAAGTGGAGGTGGCTTGTAAATATTGGGATCCATGGAAGGGAGGTGTGGCCTTCACGCAACTGCTGGGACCTGAGGTCTTGGAGAGAATTCAGTCACGAAGTCACCCCTCACCAAGGAAAAGAGGGCTGACTAAGAGAGAACCCCAAGGCACACCAACTCCCAAGGGATTTGTAAGGGAGGCGGAGCCTGCAGCGTGACTGCAAAGGAGGGACCAGAGAAATGGGAAGAAAACCTGGAGTGCCTGTTGTCATGGAAGTCAAGGGGAAAGAATTCTCCGAGGACAGCGGCTGGCAGAATCTGATATAGGTATGACCCTCACACTTTTCAAGGGCCACCTCATTTAATTCTCCCATCAAACTGTCAAAGTGGAGACCTTCATCACCCTGTTTCCAAAGAGAAAACTGAAGAACAGAGAAGGTAGGCAAATTTCCCAAGGTCATCCAGCGAGCCAGTGCCAGACCAAATCTGACCCCAGGCCTTGACAGGCAGTGTGTGGGCGCAGGAGACACCGGCATGCAGACTTTTAGTGTGAGCTCCTGGAGTAGGTGCTAGAAGTGATTAGTGGCCATCAATCACCATGTACCCGGCATGAGTTTGGCACTGCCCTAGGCCCCACCTGCCCTGTTTCTTAGCCTCACTACCACAAGGGGAGGCAGTGATTTTGCTCCGTGCACCGAGGAGCCTGGGGACCCGAAGCCAAGTGACTTATGCGAGATCACACACTGTGGCAGGTGGCATGGCCGGGTTGGGAACTCAGGTCCTCCTTATTGCCAGTAATGATCGCAGCGGTTCTTTCCCGTGAAGCAAGGCAGAGTCTCCAGTGGGAACACCTGGAGGCGCCCCCGGGACCCCCGCCCATCCCTCGCCCCCGCGCGCATGCCTGGCCGCTGAGGCGTGAGAGCGGACGCCCGGGGCCCTCGCTCCTGCGGTCCTTGCACAACCTGCCAGGATAAGTGCTGCGTCTCTGGGCAATTATCGCCCTCCCGCCGCCGCCGGGACTGGCCCGGCCGAAGGCCAAAGGCGAAGGGACTCGCAGCCACCCAAGGAGAGCGGTACCCAGCGGGAGGGCCAGCCACCAGCTCTGCGCGCCGGGCGCGGGGACCGAGGGCGGGGAGGCGCGGTGATGTCACGTGGAGCCGCCCCGCGCCCCCCTTTCCCCACCGCCTCAGGTAGAAAGCCGTGTGGGGCGGCGTGTACACTGCCGGCTGATCTCCTGAGAGGCTTTCTTTTCCTTTCATCTTCATCTCTTCCCTTTCTTCCCCTTATCATCCCTGTCGGCCCTCCTCTTCCTCCTGCCTTCCTCTTTCTTCTCATCCTCCCCCCTTCTTTCCTCCTTCCCTGCCCTGCCCCGTGCTTTCTCGCCTTCTCCCTTCCTCCGTGTCTGCCTCCCTCCTTCCCTGCTCCCTTCTCCTCCCTCCCTGCCTCTCTCCTTCCTCCCTGCCTCTCTCCTCCCTCCCTCCGTCCTTTCCTTTCCTTCTTCCCTGCTTCTGCTTGCTACCCTTTTCATTTCTTCACTTTGGGAAATAATTTCTAATCTCTACCTATGTAAAAAGCACACAGTATAAATTTACCGTCATAGCCATGTTTAAGTGCACAGTCAGTAGTGTTAAGGACTTTCACGTTGTGCAACCAATCTCCAGAACCATTTCATCTTGCAAAACTGAAACTCCAGATCCATTGGATAACACCTCCCGGTCCCGGCCCACAGTCCCCGGCCATCACATTCTTCTTTCTTTTTCCTTTCTTCCTTTTGCCTTTCTGTGCCCCTCTTTCTTTTCCCTTATCTCTCTTTTTTCTCCCCGCACCCCCTCCCCACCACCGCTCTCTCTTTCCTTAAAAGCCTGGATGGCCCTGCGGCGCCCTTGCCAGCCCCTGCATCCTCTGCCAGGGGCTGGGCCGGGAGCCCTGTCAGCGAGGCTGTTAGAGGGCTGGTGACTCACCATTCCTCCCCCATGTGTCGGGGCCAGTGGGCGGCCCCTGGAAGCCTCACCTGGCTTTATGATGGTAGGCAAACATGTCCAGCAAGGAACTTTTGCCAGGAAGAGTTAATTAGAGAGAGGCCCTGACTCCAGGGTCGGGCTGGGAGCCCCTCTGTCCTCTGGGCCTTCCCCCAACCCTGGGGCTCCCCTTCTCGGCAGTGCAAGACCGCCATGATGATGGTGATGCTGCTGATAAGTTGGACTGACAAAAAGTTTACAAAGCAATTCCATTAGACATGATCTCATTCTTGTTCTCACAACAATCCTGGGAGGTAAGCCTTACTGTTCCATTTTCACAGGTGAGGAAACCGAGCCTCGGAAAGGCGAAGGGGTTTGCATGTGGCCATGAAGCTGGTAAGTGACAGTGTTGGTACTTAGTATCACAAAAGCAGGAGAAAAAATGGGACAGGTCAGAGTTTAAAATATCTTTAAAAAAATTCGTTGCTTCCTCTTCTGTGTTCATGTAGCACCTTGTTTAGGCCTCTTGAGGACAGGCCCCACCTGATGGGTTTCTTCAGCATCTGAGTGCTGAGGGGCAGATATGGAAGGAGTGAGTGGTGGAGGTATTTGATGGTCTGCATATCAAGTGTGAAAGAGGTGATATCTAGACAGCTAAGAGACTTTTAAAAGTAAAATAGAGTTGCCACCCAGCTGTCCCTGGGTTATCTGGAGCTGTGGCTCTCCATTCAGGCTACATACTGAGAGAATATAGGACTTCTAAGTGTGGGTGGAGTTGCAATTTTCCTGCCTTTTCTGGGTGGAACCTCTGGACAGGTCACATTTTTTGAGTATGTTCTATTTCAATCTTTTTGTCGTTCGGTGTGGAAATAATTTTGTGTTATGGGTAATTGTGGTAGATTATTAATGTTCACCAGTACCCACTTCTCCCCTGTGTCATGCAGTCTCCAATCTTCTCGAAAGCGTGGTCACGTGGCTAATTTTGGCCAATAAATGTGATTAGAAGTGACGCTCGTCGCCTGTGGAACGGAACGGCGAGTTGCAGGTGCTTGACTCTAGTCCTCTCTCCTCCCGCTGCATTTACTAAGGAGGTCACATTCCAGGATATTGGAGCTTTATTGGCCTGGGTTCATATCAACTGTTATGCATGCACAGAGCAAGTGAGAAATAAGCCTCAGTGATATTAAGCTGCTCAGATTTGAGCATTTTTGTTACTATAGTTTAATCAACCAGTATAACCCATTGAATGCTTAGTCAATTTTTTAAACATAACTTTCAACTCTTGAAACAAGATTGATTTATTTAAAAATAGATTTACAGCTGCACAATCTAATAGGAAACATAAGCTTGATTTCCATCTCTTCCTTATATATACCTTATCACATATTTAAAATGTTTTTAAGAGCTTCATTGAGATGTAATTGAAATATGATAAGCGCCACATATTTAAAGTATATAGTTTGGTAAGTATTGACATATGTATGTGCCTGTGAAACCATGACTGCAGTCATAATAGTGAATATGTCTCTTTCCACAAAAGTTTTCTTGTGTCTTTCTCTGTCCTACCTCTTCCCACCAAGCCCACCGCTGAACTGCCTTTGTCATTCTAGCTTAATTCGCATTTCTTAGAATTTTAAATGGTATCGTATAGTATGTGCTCATTTTTGTCTGTCTCCTTATAACTTAGTATAATCCTTTTGAGATTTTTCTAGATTGTCAATAACTCATTCTTTTTATATTGCTGAATACTATTCCATTGTATAGATAGGCCACAATTTGTTTATACATCTTCTATTGGTAGACTTTGGTTATTTCCAGTTTTGGGATATTTAGAGTAAAATGGTTGTGAACATCTATGTAGAAGTCTTTGTATGGGCATGTGCTCCCATTTTTCTTGAAATACCTAGGAAAGGAATGTCTGGATCACATGGTAGCTTGTGTATGTTGAACATTTAAGAAACTGTTGGACTGTTTTCCAAAGTGGTTATAGCATACATTCCCACCAGTGGTATATGGAGAGTTCTGGTTCTTCCACATCCTTACCAACACTTGGTATGATTAGTTCTTTGGTCTTTTTGTTTGTTTGTCTTTTTTCTTTTGAACTTTTTATTTTGTATTGGGATATAGCTAATTAACAATCTTGTGATAGTTTAAGATGAACAAAGGTGAACAAAGGGACTCAGCCGTACATACACATGTATTCATTCTCTGCAAACCTCCCTCCCATCCAGGCTGCCACATAAGTCCTTTGGTCTTTTTAACCGTAATCACTTTAATAGATGTGCAGTGTAGTTCATTGTGGCTTTTAAACTTGGGATAAAATACACAAAAACATAAAATTAACCATTTTAAAGTGTGAAATCCAGTGGTATTTAGTATATTAATAATGTTATAAATCATTGTAGTTACAGAATATTTTCATCACCCCCAAAGGAAACTCCATATTCATTAAGTCACTCTCTAATACCCTTTCCCTCAGCCCTAGGCAGCTACTAATCTGTTTATTGTCTCTCTAGATTTGCTTATTCTGGATATTTCATGATGGAATATGAAATAAATGGTGTAAAAATATAACATGTAGTCCTTTATGACTGGTTTCTTCCATGTAGCTTGTTTTTGAGGTTCATCATGTTGTAGCACGTATTAGAACTTCATTTCTTTCTGTGTCTGAATAATATCCATTGCATGTATATACTACATTTTGTTTATCCACTCATTAGTTGATGGACATTTCGGCTTTTTCTACTTTTGGGGTATTGTGAATAGTGGCTACAAGCATTTGTGTATAGCTTTTTAAAATTGTTAAATTTTATTGTGATAACATTTAACATGAGATCTACCTTTTAACAATTTTTAAAAATTGCTGATTTATTTTTGATTGTGCTGGGTCTGTTGCTGTGTGTGGGTTTTCTCTAGTTGCAGTGTGTGAGCTTTAACAAATTTTTAGATGTATAATACATTATTGTTGACCATAGATACTGTGTATAGGTTCACTTAACATGAGCTCTGCCTTTCTAACACATTTTAAAAATATATATTTATCTAACTGAGCCAGGTCTCAGGTGTGGCTTGTGGGCTCTTTAGTTGTGGCAGTGGAACTCTTAGTTGGAGCGTGTGGGATCAAGTTCCCTGGCCAGATGTCAAAACCAGGCTCCCTGAATTGGGAGCTCACAGTCTTAACCACTGGGCCACCAGGGAAGTCCTCTAACGAATTTTTAAGTGTATAATAAACACATTTATTGTTGATTAGAGGTACTGTGTATAGGTTTTTATTTGAACATCTACTAGATAATATGGTAATTTTATGTTAAATTTTTTGAGGAACTACCAAACAGTTTTCCACAGTGGCTGTATCATTTTTACATTCCTTGCAGTGAGGCATCAGGGTTCTGCTTTCTCCATATCCTCACAAACACTTGCAATTTTCCATTTTGGGGGGATAATAGCCATTTTAATGGGTATTAAGTGGCATCTCATTGTTTTGCCTTTGTTTTTGAAAGACAGTTTCCCTGCGTGTAGAATTCTGGATTGCCTGTGTTTTCTTTCACATGTTAAAAGATTTTGCTGTACTTTCTTCTAGCTTGCATTGTTTTCAACAATTTTGCTGTCATCTTTGTCTTTTTATATGTATCATTATCAGAGTACTTTCAAGATTTTCTTTGTCTTGAACAATTTGATTATGATATGCCTTTATGTAGTTTTCATGTTTGTTCTATTTGGAATTTATTTGGCCTCATGGGTCTGTATATTTAGAGTTTTCAGTACAAATGATTGGAAAGTTTGGGGTCATTGTTTTTTAAACAGATTTATTGAGATAGAATTTGTAACATATAATTAAGCCATTTAAAGTGTACAAATGTATGTTATTATCTATGTGTTTTATGCACATCCATCACTGCAAACAGTTTTAGAGCACTTTCATTATCCCAGAGAGAAGCCCTGTTTTTTAGCTGTCTGCTTCCAAACTCCCTGGCCCCCCTTGCAACTAATCTGGTTTTTATCCCTGTGGGTTTATTTATTTTAGACATTTCATATAAAGGGAATCATATAATATGTGGTCCTTGGCCATTATTTCTTTAAATATTTTTTCCTGTCTCTAACTCTTTGTTTCTCCTTCAGGTACTCCCATTTGTTTTAAAATTATATTTCAGTATAATTAGTTTCTGTTGTAATCCTCTATAGTGTTTTATCTTATGCCCTTAAATACATCATTCTAAGATGCCTGTTGGCTCTGCTAGACTGCTAGAGAGGTCCTTGGCACAAAAATGTTGAATAAAATATTTTTATTCTAGATAGCATTA